TATAAGTTCTGTAACACCTGCAGTAAATGAGTCCCTGCTTGACTAGGCTCCTAGTTGCGTCTGATTGTCCCCGGTACTGGGGGCGGTGTGGGCTGGAGAATGGCACGCTTACTCATCCCCAGTCATCGCTGCGCAGGGGTCACTGGCTCAAACACCCCCCCCGCCGTCCCCGCACCATTGGAATTGAAACAGAGGGGATAAAAGCAGATTTATTCCCCTGGGTTATGACATTGTACCAACATGTTATGTTATACTTTATAATAAAGTACCAATAAGGAACACATCGATGTGTGTTTACTGATCTCTAACAACATTAAAATAATACTTCCCTTATTAGATTTCCAGCAGGATTAAATGAAATGCTTCCCATAAGGTTCAGTGAATGTTGCTGTTTGGCAGGTGCTTCCTCAAGATTTGCTGAGTCATGAGTAAATACTATCCTTGAGAGAGCATTGTGGAGTGATTCTGCATGTTTGTTTTTGGTATTGGTGGTGATGATAGGGAGGAAATGCAGAGTCCCACACTGGATCTGCCCCTGAGAAACACCTCCAACCTATCTCTAATATTTTTTCTTTTGGATGATTAGTTGAAATTCAGAAAAGCTCAATAGCTTTACCAAAGTCAGCCAGCAAGAGAGTCATGGTCCCCCTCTTTTTACCTTATCAAACCTGGGGTTGGCAGCCTTTTGCTTGAATCACTAACATCCTGAAAACAACAGCCACGACCCAGTCTGAGACATACTTCATGGGACAGCATAGCTGACTAATGAATTTCTTCTGGGCTGGGCTGGGCTGGGCTGGGCTGGGCTGGGCTGGGCTGGGCTGGGCTGCGTTGAACTTGCTGCCTTTTCATGGACGCTGACACAGTCAGAATTTTAGGAAGAATATCATGCCTCATAAATTCTCAAAACCTTTGCAGCCTTCTAACAAAACCAGGTATGATTAAAAACTCAAGTTTAATCGGGTAATCTCAACAAGATCATGAGTTTGAAGCCAATCTGAGCTACATGACAGAGACTTCTGCCTCAATTAATGAATAAAATAAACAAACAAAAACAGGGCTGGTGAGATAGCTCTGCCAGGTAATAGCACTTGCCATACAAACTTGACAGCTTGAGTTTGATACTTGAACCCATGGTGAAAAAAACCTGACACTCCTGAAAATTGTTCTCTGACTCCCACATAAGCATCATGACACACACACATGCACTTACCACCATCCCCTACACATAGAGACACAAACACACACACACACATACACACACACAATTTTTTAAAAATTAAAGTGTAAGTTACATGTCATGAATATTTTATCAATTTTTTTTTTTAAAAAAGACAAATTAGGGACTGGAGAGATGGCTCAGCGGTTAAGAACACTGGTTGTTCTTGCAGAAGACCCGGGTTTGGATCCCAGCACCTGCATGACGGCTAACAACTGTCCGTAACTCCACTCCCAGGGGATCCAACAGCCTCTTCTGACCTCTGAGGGTGCACTCACATACATGCAGGCAATACACGCATACACATAAAATAAAAACAATAAAAAAAAATTTTTTAAAGAGACAAATTAGATGTATTGGCCAGCAAGATCTATACAGTAAGAATTTTTCTTAAAAATAAATAAATAAGGGGACTGGAGAAATGGCTCAGTGGTTAAGAGCACTCTTGCACAGTACCCAGATTTGATTCCTAGCACCTACATGGTGGCTAACAACAGTCCCTAACTCCAGTTCCAGGGGATGACACCCTCTTCTGGCCTCTGTGGGCTTTGCATGACATGAACACTTATATACATGCAGGCAAAATACTCATACATGGGCTGGAGAGATGGCTCAGCACTTAAGAGCACCAGCTGTTCTTGCAGAAGACCTGGATTCAAATTCCAGCACCAACATGGCAGCTAACAACATCTGTAACTCCAGTTCCAGGGGATCCAATGGCCTCTTCTGTGCTCTGAGGGCATTGCACAACACAGGTGCACTTACATACATGCAGGCAATACACATACACATAAAATAAAAATGATACTCATAAAATAAAAATTAGCTAATTAAAATAACTAAATAAAATTACAAAATAAAAGACAATGAAAAGTTATAATTTTCCTTCCTAGTTTCTTTGTTCTAGAGCCCATTTGAGAACTTTGCATCCAGTTAGAAGTCAGCAGGAGGCCATTGGGTCTACTCCTCCGGCTATCCTTACTCCCCGTTCAGGTTCCCAGGAAACTCAGTGTGAGCGCACAAATCCACGCTTCCTGGGGCCTTGGCTCTCTAAAAACATCTGCAATCTCCTGCAAGAGGAACTCTGAATGACTGCTTTCAGTCCAGGAATTGATAGGGGGCCTTTCAGATACTTGAAAAAAAAAAATTCCCTGCACCTTTCTGATAGCTCACTTAGAGAGAGTCAGCATTTGAAGATGAAATTTAAGATGCTATCATTGGATTTGTTTTCTTTGAAGTTATTCTAACAAGCTTGGAACTGACTGAAACAGCTGCAGTGAATTTGAATTTAACTAATTCAAAGGAAGATTGGAGCAAAGATAAATTGGACTTGAAAGGGAAAACTTAGAGGTAACCCAGCTAACCCCTTCATTTTCCACATAAAGTGGCTAATCTGTGGGGAGGTGAAACTTACTCAAGGTGACATATCCAGTTGGAGTTCACTAACTCCGGGAGAAATAACCCTTGCCACCATAACTGCCTCACCCCAAAGATCAAAGACAGATAAGTGGACTCTCCTGTCCAAAACCTAGTAACTGCCTTCATACTCTATGTAACTCTGTGTGTCTGTCTGTCTGTCTGTCTGTCTATGCATCTGTGTCTGTGTGTGTGTGTGTCTCTGGGTATATGTGTGTGTGTGTGTGTGTTGCAAATAAAGTCTCACAGCCCTTCATGAACTTAATCTGGTTCCTTTAAGGTATAATAACTCTACGCAAAGAACAGCTTGGGGTTCCTTATCTTCCAAAACTAAAGTATCCCTTGCGATAGCTTTATTCTTAGAAAGCTTCCAAAGAAAGAAAACAAAACAAAACAAAACAAAAATTAGAGGCAATAAACAGTTCCACTCTTGGAAACAGACTCTTCCTATCTGTCCTTGTAGTAAAACTCTCCATATTGTCAGGGAAGGCTCAGGACTTCCCAAGATCCTCTGAAAGTTCTCCCAAGGACATCGTGGCTATGTATAATAGGACTCAGGGAAAGAAGCACAACTAAAAAGAGGTCCTGTGAAGATGGTCTGAAAACCCAGGGGAAGTGGAAGAATAAATTCATGTATCACCTTATTCTCTCATTCAGGAACTAGACACTGGGAGTTCTACTCAAAGGGGCTCTCTACCATTCGCCGAAATAAGAATGTTCTTAGAATCATCCAGGAAAGACCCTTTTCCCCCATGGCTCTCTTCTCCATGCTGAAAACGCACTTCAACTTTCTCAGTTCTGATTTCCCCAAGCTTCAAGTACAGTGGAATTTATTACCTTTCTAGGCACCCTCAAAAGACAACAACCAACCCTTTTCTCATCTCCATTTCTGCTTCAGACAAGATACGGGCATTCATTCAAGGGTCCAGCTAAGATCTTGACAGCTCCATAATATTCTCCAATAAAAGATGCATTAAAGGGATGGAAGAAGTGGCAAGGATTAGTGTGACAGGAAGCAACCAGGCTTTATGCACACATAGTACAAATGATTTGTGACCAAGACTCAGGAATCACACGGCAAGTATCTGATAAAATACATTTATTAGAAATTTTTCAGCAGCATCATTTCCAGTTGCTTTTTCTAATCAAAGTACAATTAAAAAGTAATTACAATCAGTACTCAAAATATGAGCAACAAAATATTTTGAGGACTCAATAATAAAATAATCAGGAGCATATTTCATTCATCCGTCCATCCATCCATTCATTCTTTGTTTAACATATGTGCAATATTAGCACAGAGAACCAGAAATGCTACTTGCTATGGAAAATGTATATTCCTGCCGTAGTTCCTGTCATAGAGACTATACCAACTACTCAAGAGAAGAGCTAGACTATACAGTACGTCTTGACACAGATGCACAGATTTAGGCAAAGACCTGAAAAAGGCTCAGTAAGAATGTTTTCCCTTTCCATTCATGTTCAACTTAGGAAATAAATAGTCAATATAAAGATAGTTTCACACACAGAAACAAAAACCCAGTTGAAGCTTAGCTCACCTGGGATCTGTTTTGCACCCTACTTTATGAAGACGCAGATTTGATTTTAATGAGTCAGCTATTGACCTCCAGTCACTAAGACAGGCAACACCTGAGATGTCAGGCAAAGGCATAAGTTGATTTAGGGTCAAGCAAAAGAGCTCTTTCAGTGAAATACAAATCCAGTGTGGGACATGACAAATACAAATGTCGTCTTGGCAGCTAGGGAGACAGCACATGCCAAACAGCGCTTGGGTTAGACAACAGAAGCATACAACAGGGTCAAACTGGATCTGAATCACTTTTTGTACCTTCAGTACTGTCTAAAGCATTGACAGTGTATGCAACGAACAGTGGCTTCTGTTAGTACACCTATTAATCAAGTTGACATGCAATGTTAAACATTAACTAAGTGCTGATGTGTAAAAATTGACCCGTGAATGAAGCTCGTATGCCTTTCCTGAATCATTTTAAAGACTGGCAAAGGTAGCTCTTCTTTAGACATAACTAAAGGTCCCAAGTCAATTCCTTTCCTCGTCCACTCACTTTTTCTAAAGATCAACCATTCAACAGATAATTTTATTAGCAAATTCAGTTATGTGATAATCTTTCCAAATTTTACAAATATACAACATATTTATAGCATTACCTTCAGACAACATCAGTGCAAAGATATACATATAGTACACTGTGAAAATTATTTGTAAAAATATGAAATGAATGACATAAGTAAAAAAGGACACACAAGACACTTGAAACCATAGGCAAACAGAGAAAAATATATTTTTTATAAAGTACTGAGTGTTAACTCTTTTTTCATTTGTTTGTAAAAAATATATGTGCAAAAGTGTGTTTCTGATTATTCCCTAGATATCTGGCACGGCTATGCCTCAGAATCTTCTTTAACAAGATTTGCAGTGTCTTTAAAAGTGTCTTCTGTTGGAGCGTAGCCTGGAGTCGGACCTCTTTTTGAAGGTTTAGCAGGGAGAGAAGGTGATGGAGGTGGGGCCACAGACACATTTTCCTTTTGTTCACTGTCCATCTGCAACCACAAGGAGACATGAAACAGCCATTTATTCCCCAAGCAGGACAGCTCTGTGTGAGGACTAATCTTTGTCAGTCTGCTCAAAATAATCTGAATATGTCTCATTCAGCCAAATTTTCTCTTAAAAAGAATGTCTGTGCTAAGAACAACAATTAAACATTACCTCTGCATAGATTGGATTTTCAAAGTTGGTAGTTTGTTTTGGTTTTCGTTTGAAGATGCTCCATTTTGTGCCCTGAATGAAAAGAGGGAAACAAGATGGATTTTTGTATTTTGTTTCATTTGGGATTTGTTTGTTGTTTTTTCTTTGTGAGTTTGATTTTGGTTGATCTAAGTTTGGGGGCTGGGCTCCAGTGGTGTGTGGTTCAATCCTTCTTATGGTCCCTGAATGGTAACTAAGACTGTCAGCAGTTTTCATCTAATAATTTCAAAATCATTCCTTGCTTTGAAGTGTGCAGTTTATAAATCTGGACCCATATCATCTAGAAGCTTTGCCATGCAACTTGCTCTATCTATTTGGGTACAAAATACACATGGCACTAAGGCATACTAGGGTTCTCTGGAGTAAAAGAAGTTTCCAAGGCTGCCTGGAAGCTGGAGAAAAAGACAAATAGCATCTCTCATTTCCAGAACTATGCCTGGATTAGTTCTAGAGTTTCCCCTCCCACTTCTTCATGTCCTGCAGTCGTCATGAAAACAACAAAACAATGCACACTTACTGTGTGCTGTATATCAGGAACTGCTTTAAGAGTTTTATGAGTTTCTGATTTCATCTTAACAGCCCTTTGAGGCAGATTTTTTATGATTTTTATTATTATCACTATATGACACATACTGAGTCACAGCAAAATAAATAGCTAAATTGTGGTTGACAAGCAGATAGTGAATACTCAAGAGACCCAGAGGCCCATATACTGAAGAATCCAAAGAGAACTCCCCCCCACCAAAACACACACTATAGTGGGTTAGTCCCACCCTTCTGAAAAGGTGGCTATAGTACTGACCACTGCTCTAGTTGCCAGACAAAAACCTGTCAGGAGACAAGAGAACAAACAGACTCCTCCTACAGGTGGGTCAGGTACCCCATGTGTTTTACAGGATGTCTGACTGTGAAAGGTGGGAGCCACATGTGAAGTAGGGAGCACATGACTATGGGAGAGAAGCAAGAGACCATTCACTTAACCCACACATCCCATGCATGCCATAGTCCGAACTTTGAGTATTTTCAGTATTTACTGATGCAAGATAAACTTGTAAGATTCCTTTGTACATTAATGCCAGCCTCAATGACTTAACCAAGTGCTTCTACTGCTTTTCAGCCAAGTGGCTATTCAGTGCCCAAATGACCACAGATATGGGGAGATGCCTGGAGGACAAACCTTACAGGATCTCAGCCTTTCAGTGAGAGGAAGAGAAAGAAAGGGGTTGCAGCTGGTAAAGGTTGGCTCTCATTCCACTTCTGGGGCCTGGGGTATGGATCAGAGGGAACAGCCTCCACCCACACCCCCCTTTGTGCTCAGGTTGGGTTACCTCTGCCTAAGGAAGATCATTAGACTTGGAATGGGCCAACTGAGAAAAAAAAATATCAAAAAAAAATGAAAGAAATCTGGCATGGCATGGAATGGAGTCAGACCTAGGACTGAATGTTTGATGTTGAAGTATTCTAGTGTCTGTGGGAAACTAATCTTCAACATTCACTTTTAAATGTATCTTAAAGGAAAAAAGTCCCTTGAAAAACAGGAAGCTAAAAATTCCCATCATGATGTGTGTGTGTGCCTATGTGTGCATAAGAGGTAATCTCTGGATCACAATGAATTAGGTGAGTCACTACTGGACCAGAACAATTTAAATGTCCTGTAGTGTTTTGTATCACAAAGAACTGTCCTATGCAATTTCCCCATAGTACCCCTAGTGAGGGGGCACAGTTAAAGATTGCAGTCCTCAGAGGTAAAATGATTGTCTAGAGTCAAGCAGTTAGATCTGGGATGGCTACATATGTGTTCAGGTGAGTTAGTGATATACTATCTATTAAAAATATTTTTATATCAAATGTACTTATTAAATCACATCCCCAATAGTCTACAAATTTCAAAAGTCTACAAGGCATAATAGATACAAATCCATCAAATATTGTTTTGTTTTTTCCTTTTACTTTCCAACAGTAAATACTTTGCCTGACACATTGAAGGCAATAATGTTTGGATGACTGGATGGACAACTCAGAGTTTCTAGATACACAGATGAAGAGGGTATATATTAGTGCCATCTGGTGGTAGACATTGGTAATAGCAATAAAGCTAAGAGTAACTTATATTAAGGGGAATATGCATTAACCAGGGAAGGGTTTTTCATATGTATCCTTAACACAGTGAAATATTTATGCATGCTAAGGAAGTATCTCAAATTTGATGTTCTATTTCTGAATATACGAGATCCATAAATCTGTTTTCCCTTCTTTGCGACATGGTCTTCCATGGATTAATATCAACCCAGAAATTTCAAAGTTCTTTTCAAATCCCCTTTCACAGGTTAGCTATTGTTACCTGAGCCCCATCAGCACCCGGGGAAGTTGACTTTGGTTCTGGAACTATCTCAGAAGGATCTATGGGGCTCCCATAATTCTTGTTTTCCACACTTTCTGATACAGCCACCTGTGAACATATTGAAAGCCCATACACAGTTTTGCAAGAATTTAGTGACAAATTTGCCATAACATTTCTCTTAAACTATGTTTACCACCTTGCTCTCTCACAGACATGGTCAGCTTCATTTTTATTAGATGAGTGGCCCTGATAGGTCGAAAATAAGTATCACTCCACTTCCCTCAAATCAAGAGCAACAACCACTAAGTCATCTCATGCATTAACCCCACAAGGCAAGTATATCACTCACTGCCATGCTCTCATAATTCCTGCTGCATTCTCTAGACCTCTCATTCCTACCACTGAACATGACTTTTTATACTGGCAACCAAGCCCTAAATATCAGCATGAGTAATCCAAACCCACTAGTACAGAATCCTAACTTTAAATATTAATAATAAAATGAGTAAGGCTGGGTATGGTAGTGCAGGTCTTTAATTCCAGGAGGCAGAAGCATGTAGATATGGAGTTCGAGACTAGCTTCGTCCACATAGGGAGTTCCAGGTTAGACAAGGCTATATAGCAAGACCTTATCCCAAAACAAAAGAGTAAATTCAGAGAACTACCTAAAAGATGTTGATTTTTTAAAACAATGGGAAAATGGAAATAGTACTCATGTATACATTTTTATAACATTCACATAATTCCAAGGTTCTCTCCTCAACCCAATTACCATTTTCTCCTCTTCAATATTTTATATTTGCCACTTTGTGTCTTCTTAAACTTGGATGTGTGTTTGTATACATGGCTTCATTTTATTTCAAATGAAAGTGCCAGATGAAATGTCATCTCTATTTCATCAGGTATTCAAGTTTTGCTAGCTAGTTATCAAAGATCGGGCAAAATGCTTTCAAGAATCAATCACATATTTCTGCTCTTATAAAAGCTATTTTTGAAAGAAACAATTCTATCATCTCATATTAAAATATACCATATGCTGAATTTGAAAGAATTCTAGTCACTAACCAACACTGAAAGCTATTCACCGTCACTGACACCATAAATGTTTAGATAAAGGAAAGGCAGATAGACAGCTGACAGGTCTGGAAGCAACACCGGGCCATTAGTCCAAACCTAAGGAAAAGCTCTTTCCTAGATAGATCTAAACACCAATCCCTTCTACGAGCTTCTATAAAGGTACACAGTAAGTCATAAGGCTGCACCAAAGGAAATCTGGATTTCTGCCTATCAACTTTGCAGACCTCTGTACTCTTCAAAAAAGACAAGGATAAGGAGGACCCCTTCACTTTAACCTACCTCAGATAGCACCCTTGTGATACCTATTATCCTCTTACTCATTTCCTACATATTGAGAGGGAGCTTATAGTATATCATGTCCTGGATCAGTGAGGGGACTCCTGCCTCTTGCTTTGGCACCTCTAAGAATGAGTAACTCTGACTAAGAAGTGAGTGCTCCTGCATGGTTGCTAAGCCTCATACCTGTGCCATGTGTCTAAGGGCAGCCCTGTGACTGCAAATAGTGATGCTGAGATACAGGCCACTGTGCTTCTTCCCACCAGGAAGGAAGGTTAGGAGATGCCTGTGAACACTCTGCAGCACAGAAAGATCCAACAGCAAGAGTAGCTGAAAGGGTACCTGACATCTCACCTGAGCTGGCAGGACCACTTTCACAGTATTGTCCTTGGATGCATACATTGGGTTTTCAAATATCACAGGCTGCTTCCCCACTTCCATGACAAAGTGTTCATTCTGATAGGGAGGAGAGAGACAAAGACTGAGAGAGAGATCATAGCTATTCTAGTTCACACAGGAAGGTGTATTCCTCACATCTGGATATACACCATATGCTTTGACAAACTCACCCAAAATATGAAGGCTTAGAGAAGGTAGGGGAGAAAAAAAGCAGCAGAGACCCAGGGATTCTAAATGGCAAATCATTATTTCAACTAACATAAAAGAATTGAGCCATCAGGTCCAGAAATACTGATGATACAATCCCCACTGGGCTAGTCCCCTCACTGAGTATCTCGCCTGGTCCTCACAGGAGGTAGCTGTGTCCCTGTACAAAACCCAGGAAAGTCAGAAAGCTCAGATCCTGCCCATCACTACAAACTTGCAAGGTGAGTGAACCACGGTTTCAATCAAGTCTCACTCTAAAATCATGGCTTATTCCTTCACTATACATAGGTCATTACTCCTATTATATATAATGTCATCAAATAAAAGTAAAATAGTATGTTCTCTCCCCACAGCTCAATAAAACACCAATCAACTCATTAAGATTCCTATTAAACTTAAGACTATTAACAGTGTGCCTAGAGAATTACAATTTAATTATTGATGCCGATGTTTTAGACTACATGCCTGCAACAAACCTAATGTTTCCTAACTTGGCCTCTAGAGTACAGCCTGAATTCTTCAATTCAATATAATTGAGATTGGTTTTATTCTTTATAAGAAGTGTGTTTTTTTTCTATAAATCAGTGAAAACAGAAACCTTCAAACCATCACATGGAAGTCACACGCACCATTGCCATGGATCTGTCAATAGCAGACTCGGGACCAAAAGGAGAAACTCCGATGTCCATGTTAACATCAGCCCCTGATCTGAAAGTCACTCCATTTCCATTTTCAGAGGGTTTGGCAAGACTGCTTAAGCTGGGAAGAGCCAAAACAACATGTTGGGATTAAAGGTGTGCGCCACCATGCCTGGCTCCTACTATACTTTTAAAAACTTAATTTCTACATGATTATGTCCAAGCAAGTTTCTAAAAATCAATATTCCGCAATGAAACTGACCTTGGCAACTTGGGCAGAGCAGGCAAAAGGGAGCCAGTTTTCCTGTAATGGAAAAATCCAACAAGTGCCAGAGCTCCAATAATGATGATCAAGAGGAACGTCAACAGCACAGCCATCGCTATGAAGAAGGAAGAAACAGAGAACACATCAACGCCAACACACACAGAAGCCAAAGCTGGGACCTGCAGCCATCTGATCCTCAAAGACTGGGTTAAAGGAATAGAGGACCCTGACTATTGCTGGTGGTTTGTATTCATGACTTACTTGTCCCTGGAGGGATGCCGCTCGAGAGCCCAACCTCACAGTGGTCTCCATTGTAGCCACTAGAACACCTGAAAGCACAAGGAGAATCAGTCACTAGCCTGTGGCCTTCTTATGCTCTTCTGCATGAACGTTTGGAGGCAGAGAGCTCTGACCAAGTGAACCACGTGTGGGAGACAATGCAGCCTTCACCGTGTCTGCCTATCCTACCAAGAAAAGAACACTGGTCTGATGTAGGGATGCACTTTCAGTGGAGCAACACCTATCGGGTCAAACTCACAAAATAAACCTTTGGTGTCTCCTCTGCTCCATGAACGTCTTCCTAAGACAGCTGGTGTTTGTTCTTTGTGAAAGAGATTTATTCCTCTTGCTCCTTACGTGAAGGTTTTTAGCAGCCTTCTTCATTCCAAACTTTTGGCTGGTCCTTCTGCTTGTCGCTGTGCCCTGTGCTAAGGCATCTCTGCTGTCAGTTGTTCGCTCACATCCCTAATTCATCATCCCAGGTGAGCAGAAAACACTGCTGCCCTTTCTCTAACTCCTCGTTCCTGAACGCATGGTGCCCCAACTGTGGCATCCCCAGGACTGTGTTACAAAAAGGGTTCTTGCGAATGTGCATGGGCATTTGAGCCAGATTTTTAGGTGACAACTGTCTTACCTCTTGGGCAGACTACACCGAAGGAGGACAAGCTGGTTAAATGTGAAAATGATGAATTGGCAAAGTCCTCCCACTGGTTTTCCCAGTGATATTAAGGCCTCAGATACCCTAGAAAAGGCAAGGCCTACAGCTGGGACTCAACATTCAGACTTACTTGCATTTGGGGAGGTCATTCTCATCAAAATAGCAACTTCCTCCGTGCATGCACCTGCATGGGGGAGGCATGGTGATGGGAAGTTCACTGGCTGCAGAAAGGAAAAGCCATGCATGGATTAGTCAGCCACACTCAGCAGAGCACCCACACCATGCAAACCTGCCCAGGATGGAGACCAAGGCTGGGACTGGGACTAGGGTGAGAGGATCAGGCCAGCTAACAAGTGTCTCCCTGCCAAGCTATCACCTGCCCCTAAGTCAAATGAATTTTCTAATCAGTGATAAGATCTTGAGAAGTGATATACATTTTGTGGATGGAAAGCTTATAGCATTTTCCCCTGAAAATAGAGGGGAGATGCTAAATAAAGGGCATACATTATATCTTCATCTGAAATTCTCTGAATTCTCTTCTGGGAACCATTAAACTAAGAGTTTAATTTAGGCACACCTTGAAATTGCAACCCAAGGCTCCAGAGCATCAGCAACGGATCAGGCAACAGGCAGACACAGACAAAGATAGATGCACAGACACCCAAGGGACAGCTAGCAGGGATCACCTTACTTCAAAAGAACTCCCAAACTACCCTACCTCTGAGTGCCTGACTCAGGCCCGCATACTCCCCGGATGTGTCTGACCAATTGGTGTCTTATACTTAGAAGATGTTTAATAAATGTTTGTCACATGTTTTATTTGAGGAGTTTGTCTGCCTTCTACGTTCAGTCCTTCAATGTAAGTCTCTCTTCAAAGTTTCCTTTATCAGAGAGACTATCCAAGTTCAGTGATGCCATGCCTGTCCCTCATACCTGTTTTCTCTGTTGTACTTTTTCCACCTGACCTAATACTTAACAGGTTTCTCTGTTTTACTGTCCTGTTAGCAAGAAAACTCAATGAGAGCAGGGATTTGTCTACTTTATTTACTTCTGTTATCTTTGGTACTTGTAATCATACCTGGCACATGGTACACATTGAATTAAGACTTACTGAATTAATTGATTAGTTAATATACCACACCAAGGCCCATATGGAATGAACTGTCATCATTAATTTACTGATTTTGACCAAAGTTTTTTTTTGTTGGTTTTTTTTGAGGCAGGGTCTCCCTGTAGCCCCAGCTGGCCTGGAACTCACTATGTAGACCAGGCTGGCCTTGAAGTCACAATGATGTGCCTGCCTCTGCCTTCCAAGTGCTGACATTAAAGGTATGTGCTATCATGCCCAGCCTTGGCTATAGTTTTTAAAAAATGAAAATCTTAATAAAATCTATTTGACAGAAAAAAAGTGAAGAGGATAGGTAAGGCAACGTATTCAATACTTGCGTGATAAACGTTTGAATGATCTGTCCTCAGCATGAAACAAATCAGAAAGCTTATCATCACTTCATCAAAATACTGCTCAAAATAGAGCAACCTTGCTGATAGTTCTCTAGCAGCATTAGGATAAACAGAGGAGTAGAGGAGAAATGAAAAGGGAAGCAGTATTTCCACCCTGACTGAGTTGTTCCTGTAAATGAGCTCAGTTCCTTGTTTAACTAGTTGCTACTCCAGTGGTAGAACTCTTAATTTCCCCATCAGCTTAAACTTTAAGAGGGCCCCTGTTAGCCATAAAATAGGCTGCAGGATGGCTTTGTAATGTGCTTATTAAGCATAGGACATTGGTTAGAGATATAAAAAGCCGCTGACAAAGGCTGAGAAGAGATCACCCACAGCACTGGGAGGAGAACTACCCCACTGCTTCCCTCTTCAGGACTTCATCTCCCAACAGCAGACTATGTTTCAAAATACAGTCCTCCAGTTGTTAAAATTCTGAAATGGGCATGTGAGGAAAGCATGAACATCCTCTAGCCCTGCTCCCTGCACCGTGCAAGCGCCTCCCACCTTAGGAACAAGGTTCTCCACCTTGAGTGAATTCTGAGACAACAGAAATCTAGTGTAGAGTGAAGACATGAGGAAGAGGCTTTAGAGAAAACTTCAAAATGTTTGTACAAAATAACATCAATATAGGTGGTAGGACTATGGGATGTGTAACTGCACATCTTTACAAATAAGTCTCAGAAATCATTGCAACATAATTGGCCCCTGGAATCCTATTCAGCTCTGTTCATACTTCCCTCATGCCTACCTCTAGCTAGCCCTAACTTCATTCTGCAAAGAACCCAATAGATAGTATTCTTCAGACTCCTGAAGGCCTCCAAATCTTCCCAGGCAGTAAGTGTCTTACCTGCATCGCACTCAACAGCGCTGCCACTTATAAAGTTGGAGCCTTGGGGACAGGCACAGCTGTATCCTCCTGGTCTCAGTAAACAGAGGTGGCTGCAGACTTGTTTACAAGGGTTGGACACTGGCACATAGATAAGAACAGAGTTAGGTCCTGATAGGAGACAGGTCACCCCAAGCAAAGTATGCCCACTAACTGCATGTGGCTCTGCCCGGCAGTGGAAGAGCCCCAGCAGCACCCCAATACCTGTAGGTGACATGTTACCTGGATACCCACCCTCACACTACCATCCTTCTCACACCACCAGTGGGGCAGTCCCTCCATATCACTCATAGCTTCTAGTATTAACCATTCATCTCCTCTATTGCCCTGGCAGGTTTTGAAGGTTGGTATCTGTCTGGTTCATGCCTAATCTTAAAATCTAATCAGTGCTAAGCAACTTTAAATGGTTAAAACAACAACAACAACAAAAAAAAAAAAAAAAAAAAAATTCAAAAAAATTTTTGAAAGGTGGGGATTGTAGGGACTTGTTT